CCGCTCGCCCGCCGACCATCGCGGCTACGCCAGCCTGCGCGCCGCCTCGCCCGCCCCGTCCAGCGCGCCCTCGCACGCGTCCTCCTCGGCCTCGTCCCACTCCTCCTCGTCCTCGTCCTCGGGCTCCTCGTCCTCCGACGACGAGTTCGAAGACGACCTGCTCGACCTGAACCCCAGCTCAAACTTTGAGAGCATGTCCCTGGGCAGTTTCAGCTCGTCGTCGGCGCTGGACCGGGACCTGGATTTTAACTTCGAGCCCGGCTCCGGCTCGCACTTCGAGTTCCCGGACTACTGCACGCCCGAGGTGAGCGAGATGATCTCGGGAGACTGGCTCGAGTCCAGCATCTCCAACCTGGTCTTCACCTACTGAAGGGCGCGCGGGCAGGGAGGACGAGGGCCGGGGGCGAGAGAGGAGAAAAAGAAAAAAAAAGAAGAAAAAAAGGAAAAGAACAGATGAAGAGTGGAAAGAGAAAAGGGGAAAAAAAAAAGAAAAAGAAAAAAAAAAAGTAAGCAGGAGGGCAGGCTGCGGCCGCGTCCCCGTCGTCGGAGAGGAGCGCGGTGGCGCGCTGGACCCGCGCTCCCATCCCCCACCTTCCCGGGCCGGGGACGACCGACCCTGCCTAGCCGGAGGGACACGGAGGAGGGTAGACGGGGGGCGACCTTTTAGTGTTGTTGTTGATGTCGTTGTTGATGGCAGAAAAGCCACTCCGAGTTTCCTCCCCTGGTTGAAGAGACCCCCTCCCCTGGCACCGAGCTTCCGGACTTGTCTGCGCCCCCAGCAAGAGGCCGACTGAGTTTTTCTAGAGACTGGAGGACTCTCGCCCCTTTCGCATCGCCACCTTGGTGTTTTTGGTTTTTTATTTTATTTTGATGTTTGCTCAAGAGAGATGGGGGGGGAAACTCCAGCGCGCCCCCTCCCCCGCTCTTTTTTTTTTTTTTTTTTTTTTTTTTTTTTTTTTTTTTTAATACCGGATGAAGACAAGGCTCTGGGGCGACGAGTTTGGCCGATGGCAGATGGCTTGTGGGAGCGCCGGGACTGAGAACTCCACGCTGGCGAATTCCCGTTTGGGGTTCCCCCCACCCCCACCCCTTCTCTTTTTCTTTCTTTCTTTCTTTCTTTCTTTTTTTTTTTTTTTCCCCTTGTCCCTGCAGCCGGAGGAGGAGACGTGGAGGGGAGGAGGCCAGCCAGAGTGACCGGCCCTTGGAAATGACCTGGAGCCTAGTTGGAAGCCACCCCGGCCGGGGCGAGGGCGGGGGCCAGGAAGGACACGAACTGGAAGGGGGCGCGGGAGCCAACTGAAATGGATCTGCACGCTGGGGAGAAGGTGGCGCGTCCTCTGGGCCTCCGCCTTCTGTCGCCTGAAATCAGTGAGCTGAGACTTCGCAGAGCCGGAGGCGTGCAGGAGACGAGACTGTTTGATGTGGTACCGGGGCCGTGGAGGGCGAGTGGTGTCTGGGGGAAAAAAGGTTTTTTTCTTCTCTTAATCGGAATCGTGATGGTGTTGGATTATTTCACTGGTGGGGTTAATATAGCATGTTATCCTGTCTATCTTTAAAGATTTCTGTATAAGACTGTTGAGCAGTTTTTAAAATAGTGTAGGATAATATAAAAAGCAGATAGATGGCGCTATGTTTGATTCCTACAACAAAATTATCACCAGCTTTTTTTCATTCTTAACTCTTTAAAGGATTCAAACGCAACTCAAATCTGTGCTGGACTTTAAAAAAACAATTCAGGACCAAATTTTTTCTCAGTGTGTATGTGTTTATTCCTTATAGGTGTAAATGAGAAGACGTGTTTTTTTCCTCACCGATGCTCCATCCTCGTATTTTTTCCTTGTAAATGTAATCAGATGCCATTTTATATGTGGACGTATTTATACTGGCCAAACATTTTTTTTCTTATTTTTTCCCTTTATTCTTTTCTTTCTTTCTTTCTTTTCTTTTTTTTTTTTTTTTTGCTTCCTTTTCTTTCTTTTTACTTACTTTATTTCTTCCTTCTTCCTTCTTTTATTTTATTTTCTTTTTCTTTTTCTTTTTCTTTTTTTTTATTTTGGTAGTTGTTGTTACCCACGCCATTTTATGTCTCCTTCACTGAAGGGCTAGAGTTTTAACTTTTAATTTTTTATATTTAAATGTAGACTTTTGACACTTTTAAAAAACAAAAAAAGACAAGAGAGATGAAAACGTTTGATTATTTTCTCAGTGTATTTTTGTAAAAAATATATAAAGGGGGTGTTAATCGGTGTAAATCGCTGTTTGGATTTCCTGATTTTATAATAGGGCGGCTGGTTAATATCTCACACAGTTTAAAAAATCAGCCCCTAATTTCTCCATGTTTACACTTCAATCTGCAGGCTTTTTAAAGTGACAGTATCCCTTAACCTGCCACCAGTGTCCACCCTTCGACCCCAGTCTTGTAAAAAGGGGAGGAGAATTAGCCAAACACTGTATGCTTTTAAGAAAAACAAATTTTTCATCGAAATACTGTTCTGTCCAGAGGCTTTAAAACTGGTGCATTTACAGCAAAAAGGGATCCTGTAGCTTTAACTTGTAAACCACATCTTTTTTGCACTTTTTTTATAAGCAAAAACGTGCCGTTTAAACCACTGGATCTATCTAAATGCCGATTTGAGTTCGCGACACTATGTACTGCGTTTTTCATTCTTGTATTTGACTATTTAATCCTTTCTACTTGTCGCTAAATATAATTGTTTTAGTCTTATGGCATGATGATAGCATATGTGTTCAGGTTTATAGCTGTTGTGTTTAAAGATTGAAAAAAGTGGAAAACATCTTTGTACATTTAAGTCTGTATTATAATAAGCAAAAAGATTGTGTGTATGTATGTTTAATATAACATGACAGGCACTAGGACGTCTGCCCTTCTAAGGCAGTTCCGTTAAGGGTTTTTGTTTTTAAAGTTTTTTTTGCCATCCATCCTGTGCAATATGCCGTGTAGAATATTTGTCTTAAAATTCGAAGCCACAAAAACAATGTTTGGGGGAGAAAAAAGAAAAAAAATCATGCCAGCTAATCATGTCAAGCTCACTGCCTGTCAGATTGTTGATATATACCTTCTGTAAATAACTTTTTTTGAGAAGGAAATAAAATCAGCTGGAACTGAACCCTAAATCTTGACTTTTGTCATTATTATTCCACTGCCTAAGTTTGGAAGAGCCTTACGGTACTGAGAGTCCACACCATCTGCCTTAGCTTTGAAACAAGTAAGTTCTCAGAGAGGAGCCTTTTAAATGCCATCTTTCTGAGGAATACTAAGTTCCTCTTGGCCAGATTTGGCAGGCCCTGACCCTGAAATGATGGCGTCAGCTGAATATGTGTCAACTCTACACACGCTTTCTAGGAATTATCAGAGTTTACCACGTTTAAATAAACACCCTTTGTCTTGAAATTTTAAAAAGAGGGGGAGGGGCAACATTGACAATTCTTCACAGACAGAACTGGCTGGCTGATCTTTTTTTTTTTAAACTTTATGCTCCTAAAGCTGCTTTCTCCTTGACTTACCCCTGCTTACCATCTAGCAGTGGCTAGAACTGTTTTCCACAGGTCAAGAACAAATAAGCCTGTTAAATTATCAGTAGATCTTAGAGGAGAAATACAAAAGGTGTATAGAATTTTTCCCTAACTCATTAAGGTTTAACATGGTGCTAAAAAACCTCCATTTTGTGCCGTATTAGTGTAAGAGAAATGCAGCAAATAGGGATGACCTGGAGGAGTTGGCTGCAAGAGGGCTGAGATGAAAGCTCTCCCTATCTCAGTCTGAGTAGCACTTACTTCAGCTAGTGGAGACTTAACACATCGCAAGCATCAGGCAGGGCAGTAGTGTTGAGACCTGTATGTAAGGAGGAAGAGTAGCTTGGATTTCCTAAGGCCCATTACTGTTTGGTTTGTAACATTACAGCTTGCTAAGTAGCACTATTTCCTGTTTATTTTGAGGGTTAACAATTGCCATTAACCAACAAAAGCCATCTTCACTTCCAAATGCCTGTTAATTAAAAATGTGTATACATGTCTTCTAGTTTTTCAGCACTGGAGAGGAGGGCTTAATAAACAGAAGTGTTTGGAAATAATCCCTGAATCATCTGGATTGCTTATAGGTAAGGGAGTAACCATCTTGGAATGTGCAGCTGGAAGAAGATATTTATGAAGACCATAGTCTGAAACAGCAATTTTTTTGTTCACTGAAAAGTAATAATTCCCCCCCCCCTCCAAAATAACTTGTGTTTCAATACAATTCATCTCTTAAAGGTAGCTACTGGTTTCCAAATTTTTTTCATGTATGCTGCTGGTATACTTAGTTTTAATTGTATTTATGTTCTGCAATTGAAATGTTTTTTAAAAGACCTTAAATCAACTTGCATCTTAAGATTTCTTCAAAGATCTTTTCAAAAGGAGGAAAAATTCTTCTATACAAAGGTGCTTAAATTTAATTTTTGTTCATTGTAGTAATGATATGATTGGTTAATTTTTTTCAAATGCAAAGTATCAAAACCTTGACATAAATGAAGCCTATATGAAACATTTAAAAATGATACATATCTTTTAAAGCATATTTATACTTTATAGTGTTCTCCTGCTAGAATTATGTTTATTTTCCCTTGACTTTCCATGTAAGAGTAGATGCTTTAAATATTTTCAAGGATTTTGATAGCATCACTTTAAAAATAAAAGGCTTTAATGTGTGTGTTTTTCCTAGCAGGTGGTTGAGTAAATATAAGAGACATTTTTGTACTCTCCTCTGAATCTATTTTCATTCATGAGAGGGATACTTAAGTGTTAGATGGTGCAAGGCATAATAAGCTTGAGAAACCAAACAGTTTAGTATGACTTTCTCTGTAAGATAATTTGGATCAATAGGAAAGAATAAGCTTCAGATTTTCTTTTAAGAATATCAAGCAATTTTTTCTTTAAAGACATGCTTCCAGCCTTGTGCTCCATTAGAAATGTTAATCGATGATACCTGCTTAAGCAAGTTTTGTCAATTCCTAGTTGAATCTATATAAATGCCAAGAAAAAAGAAAGAACATGTAAGCTGATGGGTGGGCTGAGTGTCTGAAGAGACTTTGTGCCTTTACATTTGTACTTAAACTACTCTCTGTGAGGTGGGGGAGGTTCTGGAGGCACAAGGGATTCTCGGAGAAAGCACAGGGTTGGGAAGTGGACATCAACATTTACCCAGTATTTCCTGTGTTGGTAGGGTACATATGAATTAGAAGACATGGACTGGGAAATGCTATGGGTCAGAATGCTTCATCATAAATTTAAAACAATTTGGAGATCCCAAAGAAGTATTCGGGAAAATACGTATATCAAAAAAACTAGGAATTCTAGGAATACAAATACATCTTACCCATTTGGAATTCTCAGGGTAGAAAGTGGGTATGTTTTCTTTTCCTTTCTGGTGGTTTTTGTATTTTACCTTTTTCCCTTCTTTGAGGCCTTTGAAATACCTCTCTAACCCATGCTCAATAATGCTTACCCCTACCCCTCTGATTCATCCTGGAAAATGATCTCCATACACATTTCTAGATTTTCACTCTGGCTATCATTTGGAAGCTAAAGTGGACAGGTAGGGGAAAGCATCTCTAGGCATCTGCATGGTGTTTCAGACTCTGTTACATGTGTACCACGTTTCCCTTTGCCCAGGATAAAGTACAAAATGTCACATGCTGCTATTCAAAGCCCTGCACAAAATGGTTTTAGCGTACCTTTCCAGTTCTCCAAAACTCCAGTGTAGCCAAATCATTTTCTCACA